GATCTGCTTGGTGCCGCCCTTCTAAAATTCGGAGTCTTAATGACCATCTTCAATTTTTAGGTGATTTCTTGTTGTCTTCTTTGGTCCATTTCGAACGGTCTTGCGTCGGATCCATCGATTTTCATATACTGTAACTACCATCTCCAGAGACCTATGAAACGGATTTATACCAGATAGATATCTCCATTAGAACTTGCAGACCAGCATCAGCCTGAAAATAGGAAGTGTCAAATGTAGCAACATTTCTGTCAAATGTAGCAACATTTCAATGTTAATGTTAGTGGTCATTATTTAAAAATGATAAAAGCCCAATGGTCTAACACTCAAAGCTCAATGGTGAAATCGCCAGAAGGTTCTGTCCTAGTTAAAAATAGGAAACCAGTCATGCCCGTTCGATAGGGAAAAAACGACGAGGCATGTTTAGTGTTCTGTTCCAAAACAGGAATTACGTCAATCACAATGGTGTGGACTTTATTGGTTCGGAACTCCCGTTTATTCTTTGAACAATTCTCAAACAAAAAACTAATTCTGAAATAATGTGCCTTATGCCGAAGACAATAATATCGAGAACTTTTATTAATAATTTGTATTTTTGATGTACTATGAAATTTTCAAAATTTTTAAGCATAAAGTAACCATTAGTTTGTAACTTGACAAGAAAAGTTAAGGTTAAACCGAAATAATTCAATAGTTAACATTATTGTTTCAATAATTTTCAATGTTGATATTGGTGTAAGTGTGTCAGATTATAATTTAAAAAGCGACATTTGAAATTGCTTTTATTATTTCCCTTAATTTTAAATATTTACCGCGCAAAGAAGCGAATTTCTTGGAAATTGAAAAAGAATAAATATCTCAAAAACTGTTGAGAATGGTATAGAGGTAAATTATGTTCAATCGGTAGCAAATATGCTCTACTTTTACCCCCTCAGAGGAATACGTCTACTTAACAGTCACCCTGTATATTTTCCTCATTTATGACGACATTTCTCAAACATTTTTATCTGCGAAATCCCCCACACTCCTCTATTTTCCTACGCAAGTGCGTTCCAGCAATATGTTATGACTGATGATAACAATGCAAGACGGTGTAAAACGATTTGATGATATAGGCGTCGTATTCCGTACTATAATGAAATATTGTGATAAATTTCGAAATTACAAAGTAATGTGCCAGCGTGTTTCGATTGCTATTGTGTGCAAACATTATCGGGGTAAGGTTGCTGTAATTTACGGTTACACCTTATACCTTTAATTTAGTGCTTTGTCCTAGGTAAGTTTGAGCTCTCCTTCACTATCTGTGATATTTTGACAAAACCAACTGGTAGCTTTTATAAACTGATTTATCGAGGGTGATATCACGAGTGCTAAAAAATTACCGATAATTTTAAAACTCGAGTGGTATTCAGAGGAGTATTACACAAATTCAAAAACATCGAACAATATATTTTTATTGAATAATAATATTATTTTTGATTTATTGTCAAACTAGTTGCCCTGACGACGTGGTATTATCGTTTTGGTATATCATCGATTTTGTATATCCGCATTATCCGCTGTATCTATCTTATCGATAGGAAAAAAACGACAGGGCAGCTGTATTATAATTCCAAAAAAGGAATCACGTCATCATCATATTCTTGGTAACAATGCTGTAGAAAATAGGTATCAGCACAAACATCGTGTCAAATTCAGGAAACAACAACAAAGACTTTAGTAATGGCCAGGTTTGATAAAAAAAAAATGTACATTTCGATGCTCTCCTGTATCTTTCCCTCTTAGAACAACTTTCAAACTTAGAACATTCAGAGGATTACCAAAAATAACGGTGTACTGTGAGAAGGAAAAATTAGTCATAAGTTTTTTCACGCAACCACAATATATGAAAAAAAAAAAAAAATGATTGATAAAACAAAACAAAAATAATAATAATTTCATTTGCAGTAAAGGTAATATTTATTGCGATTGAAAGCAGGAAATCTATGCTGAGGTACATTTTAGTAACCTTTCCGAAATTGATTACAGCAGTATGAAGTATTTTAGTCGTGTTCATAAGATAATTTCCAAGATATGACATGCTTCCGATTTTACTATAAAAATAGGAAAACAATAGATATCGTGTCAGTTTCAAACTCCGCTTTAATGTTTGAATAAATCTTTCCGAAACTTATGCATTGTAGTTATTGCAAATCAGCAATCATCAATGAGTAAGGTTTAAGTTTCACATAAAATGAATGTATTTTAATGATTCTTACCGGGTTGCGGCTGCTGCTGAAGAAGAGTTAATATATAATTTTCCATCACCAGCATTGTTGGAGCTCAGGCACATGCATAAGAGAGCCGGCAGGCAAACTCATCGATATTGTGCGTAATTTCTGGTTACCGACGGTAGCAAATGTCGCATCCCCATCTCGTACTCGTCTAGCACTGGTATTGAATCTGAAACTTTCTCCTCCGTGATCGTCTTCCTAAAAAAAGTCCACTTTTAGAGCCGCCGTACAGGGTGATCTAGTATAAATGTCACCCACTCCTAACTTTTTCATTTCAAAAGTTTTAAGAAATTGTCAAAAGCCTTCAACTAACTCAGTTTTAAGTAAATAATATAGGGTGCGTCAAAAAAGTGTATTAGTTCGAAGTTATATTCTTTTAAATGGAACACGTGTATATTGTGCTCTTATTTGTTATTCCCCTTCAAATTGAATTCAACCTTATATGTCTATCTTCAATAGTTATGGCGAACAACATGAAAACCCCTTGCAAGTTCTCGTTAAAGAAAGAAAAATTATACCATTTAGGTAACCACCCCATCGCCTTTCAGGCGGAATTGATGGCGGTCATCCAGGGAGCCAAGATAGCCATCGATCCAGAAATCGACGGCGAACGAGTGCGATTTCTAACGGATAGTAAATCCGTGCTGTCGGCCCTTGACAGCGCTAGAACAAACTGAAAGTTGATTATGCAAAGTATAGAAGCTCTAGAAGCTGACAGTTTTGCCAGAGCTGCTTCAGGGAAGGCCCCGATGGAACCTCAACCCATGATCCCTTGTCAACAAACACCGGCATTGCCGAAGTTAAATGAATAACTCAGTGCACGCCAAAATGTGGCGCAGTTTAGACACTTGTAGGCAGGGCAGATCAATGATCGACCTCCCTAACTGGAAAAGAGCCGAGTATAGTGTACAGTTGTCCAGGAAAAACCTCCGCCTATTGAAAGGAATTTACTCAGGACACTGTGGACTAAATAAACACATTTACACCTTGGGTGTTGTTGAGACCCCAATGTGTAGATGGTGCGACGCTGTAGACGAAACGGTTGAGCATGTGCTTTATCACTGCCCAACCTGTTGCCAATAACGGTGAGCCATACTGGAGGACATCTGGCCTTATATGGCCAGGTTGAGGCGCACCTCACCTGGAACTCTCCTGAATTAATTCAACGGGTGCGATGTCTGCGGGAGACCCCCGGGGAGGAGAATGCGCCTTAACAAATGGAGGTGACACAAAGGCGAGGCCTAGTGTCAGTGATGTAACACCCTCCTTTGCGACTATCCATATCCAGATATACCATTTAGGTCTTAAAGATAATTTTTTATAAACAATTTATTATTATTCAATTGTTATTCAATAATTTACAAGGTGAAATATTATAATAAATCAAGATGTCAACCCAAAAGCTACCAACACTAGTGAAATCCTCATCACAAATAAAAAGTTGGGAGAGGCAACTGGACACAAAAAATAGGAAAGTAACTTAATACAAGCTGGTCTGTAGTAAATAATTTATGTAACACGCCATTGCACCCGATGGTAGTTGAAAAAGTAGAAGATTTCTAGTTATTTATTCCACAAAGTACTAAAATTATTGTACAATGAACATCATTGTCAAAAACTTTCAAAATGTTCGCAACACAGAAAATTAAATATAACTTTTTTCCTCAATTTGATTTTTCTGTTTCAATAATGGTATATTAAATAAACATTATTATTATTATGTTTTCGCAATTTGAGCAAACTTCAAATGTTCCAATGGTATAGTAGGTACATCTTTAGGTCATTGGAAAATGATAGCGAAAAATGCGTACCGACTGTTGATTCACAGCTGGAACGACAATCGCCCCAAATTAGAGGCATGTGACCACAGCTCCACTTTATGTTCCTCTCCTTTCCTCAATTAAATTCATATGCATCTGGTAAGGGCGAAGACTGCCGAGATTAAATATCAGCTGCAAGGATATGAGCCAGATTTACCTGTCCCTACTGAAGACCACATTCAAAAAATAATTTCTGGTGTTGAAAACAACATGAAGGCTCAATATCAACAAGCTTTAATTAATTTTCTTGTGAAGGAGCATCAAAAATTTGATCAAGGAATTAAAGGTTAAGTTTGAGCTCATATCAATTGATCGAAAGGAGCTCTTGTTATGTTACTCCTTTTATTTTTGTATTCTATTTGCAAACATTCATTTTGTTTCTCTCTGTTTTTTAGTTGGAGGTACGAGAGCAAAGTTATGGAAAACTTCAATAAAATTAGCCAATAAAACTAATGATAATGGTGATTTAGCTGTCATATTCACAGTATTTCGTATTAGCAACCGAGATAAAGTGTCTGTAAATAAACTTGTACCGAACCAAAGAATGGATGAATTTATTTATATTTCACATTGGTAAAATAATTTTTCATCATTTTCCAAGCAGAAATCCTCAACAAATATTTTATTAGGTCTAACCGATACAAAATTTGACTACTCTGATGATACCCTATGCACAGAAAGTGCTGTAGAATACTTTATTTAATAGCAAGGAATTTTATAGAAGCATCCAATAAAAATGGTTTATTGGATAAGCCTATTAGCAGAAAAGGCTCCTAACCCTCAAAACAATTTACCTACAACAAACATCCCTCCAGGAGATCCTTCTCCCAAATACACCCCTCTACCAAGCTATACTATAGCGACTGGAGCTGGCCTAGCTAAATTTCTCAGGCAAAGCATCAGGCGCAGCATGCGTAAAATCGCCAACGTTCTAGGAGAAGGTCCAAGTTCGTTCAGAACAAGGCTCAGTGTCCAACATCCGCCGCCCGATTACCACGCTGTTTTCGCGGAAATGACTGGCGGCAACGACACCACTTTGGAACGTCTTATGAATCTGCAAACGTCACCGAACGCTTTAACAGCTACAGAAGTGGCTTTGATACTCAGAAAAAGCTTCAGAGGAAGTCGAATTCGATCGCCTACCAGGAGTACTGCTGAACAATTTTTGGCGTCGCTCAGTGCTGAGCATTTGGTGGACGCCGAGGCTCCGATTGGCGAGACTTTGTTGGTTATGGAGCTGGATGAGAAGACGCCAAACGGCGTTCCGGCTGTGATATGACACTGTTTATGGTAAATTATTCATAATGAACGACAATGGCCCCAAATAAGAGGCATGTCACCAGAGATCCTCTTTATGTTCCTCTCTTTTCCTCAATTAAATTCCTATGGATTTTTTAGCATTTGGTAATGGCGAAGACTACCGAAATTAAATATCAGCTGCAAGAATATGAGCCGGATTTATCTGTCCCTACTGGAGACAACATTCAAAATATAATTTCTAATATTGAAAACAACATGAAGGCTCAATATCAACAAGCTTTAAATAACTCTCTTGTGAAGGAGCATCAAAAATTTGATATTAGGGAATTGAAGGGTAAGTTGCAGTTCATATCAATTGATCAAAAGTAGCTTTTGTTACTCCTTCTATTTTTTTATCTAATTTGCAAACGGTAATTTTGTTACTATCCGTTTTTCAGTTGCAGATACGAGAGAAAAGTTATGGAAAACTTTAAAAAAAGTTATGGAAAACTTTTAAAAAATTAGCCAATAAAACTAACGATCAGCAATGAAGCAATGAAGCGTCTGTGAATAAACTTGTAACCAAAGAATGGATGAATTTATTTATACGACACATTGGTAAAATAATTCTTCAACATTTTCCAAGCAAAAATCCACAAAATATATTTCATTAGGTCTAAACGATACAAAATTTGACTACCCTGATGATACCTTATGCAAGATTGAAATAGGTCAGAAAGTGCTGTGGAATACTTCATTTAATAGCAAGGAATTGGTAGAAGCATCCAACAAAAATGGTTTATTGGATAAGCTTATTGGCAGAGTAAGCTTATATGACATAGTCCATGTTCCAGACTCTATCAAATTTTACGACACTAAATTTGTGTTTTATCTTCCAGCGCTTTCGAAAAATGTAAGAAATATAATTGTAGAGGAGATGGTCTATAATTATTTATTAATGCATTAAAAATTATTCTGAAAGAGACTGACGAAACTCCTGCTAAGCTACATGAACAAAAAGCCGACAATGCTTCTGAAACCCTTAAAGCGTTATTCAACATTACTGTAATCAGTTCTCTTGGAGAAAGAAGAGAGGCTCAATATAGAGAATTAGTTGGAATATTAGGAAACTACCTTATGGCTTCCACAATAGGTTTAGGAAAAACCTGGCAGGGCAGCCTAGAAATGACATTGTTAATTTATCAACAAATATTCCAGCAATTTATTATACAGAATTGCTTATGCCTGTAGATGAATTAAAACCACTTCCAAAGATTTTAACATTTGAAAATAAAAATCTGACAGTTATTTATGAAATATCGATTTCATTATCATTTCGAACCAATAAATACGACGAATTATTTCCAAAATTTGGTTATTTAATTGGATTTGAAAATATCAATTTTTTTTGCCAGAGATTTTGACTCTAGCCTGGTCATGAAATATGTATTAGCACCAACTTTTAATTTTGGCGATATGTGGTACAATAGCTCTAAGTCAGCAATAAATTTTTCACTCAAGAAAGATTTTTACTGACCTTGATTTCCAAGTTGATTTACATGGTTTCGCCTGCCTGAAATTCAGTGTCTTAATGGCCATCCTGGGTTCTTCGGTGATCTGTTCTCCTCATTGATCCATTTCAAACGGTCTTCCGGCGGATCCAGCGAATTCCACATCTTGAACTACCATCTTCAGAGAATTTTAAAACGGATTTATAACAGGTATTTCCATTAGGTACAACTTGTTAATCAGCATCAGCCTGAAAATAGAGATGTATTCAGATCAACAAAATATAGCAACAATAATGTTGGTAAGTTATTATCCATTCAAAAATATTAAAAGCCGAATAGTCCAACGCTCAAAGATTAATGGTGAAATCGCCGGAAGGTGTTTTCCTAGTTGAAAATAGTAAACGAGCTGAAATATCGATAGGAAAAAAACTACAGTCAAGTTCGTTGAGTATGAAAATTTGTTCAAAAATTAAAAATTCCATTGCCGCGCTTACCCTGTCTGTCTTTCCTTCTCAGAACAGCATGAATTCAGAGGATTATCAAAAATAGCGGTGTATAGGTAATGTGAGAATGAGATACAGTCCGTCTCGATTCATATTCATATGATATTTTTCCAAATTTTGTTATATTTTTTTTTCGTAACATCCTAGACTAAATATTAAGCTAATACAAGTCGGCTGCAGACAGTAAGCAGTTACTTTTTTGGCATGGACCTGAGCTTATTTCGTGTCTTACCTAATAATATGGAATTATTGAATATTTTAAGTAATTAGCCGAAAGAATCCGATTTATAAAGTGATACGAACGAATTCCGTAGATAGACCAAAAATCATAAATACCTAAAGGTGCGTTTGGTTTTGCTTATGGAGCAACTATTGCGATGATCGCAGAGTGATAATCGCTAGAGTCGCTAACGTCAATCGGGCGCGTCTGGTCCTAGAGCAGATATAATCGCCAGTCGCGAACGATTATTGACAGTAGGTATACATGTGTTTTCGTGTTTTTTGTCGTCACCACACAAGTGATTTTTAAACAAAACTTTAAAGTATCATTCATCCATCCTCCTTTTGAAGATAGGATGTTTAGGAAGTCTTGGCAAACTCAACATTTTTAGCATGTCTTTATCGTCAATTCCTTCCAGAAAAAGATAATTTGATAACAGTGCTCTACTGCTCTTACTAATCGAAAAGTTATTAGATAGTTATTGCAAATCAACAAACATCCATGAGTAAGGTTTATGTTTCACATAAAATAAATATATTTTAATGATTCTTACCGGGTTGGGGCTGCTGCTGACGATGAGTTGTTCCATAGTTCTCCATCACCTTCGCAGCATTGTTGGGCTCAGACAACTGCATGAGAGTGCCAGCAGGCAAACTTATTGGTATTGTGCGCAATTTATGGTTACCGATGGTAACAAATTTCCCGTCCGCATCTCGTACACGTCCTGCACTTGTAGGTACTGAATTTGGAACTTTATTTTCCGTGATCGTCATCCTAAAAATAAAGTCCACTTTTAGAGCCGGCGTACAAAATATCACAAACTGCCACAAAACATTAGAGAAAATAAAAAGTTAGTACTAATGAAAGAAATTTTCAAGACGACTTAGTGTAGTTATCGAAGTATGTGATAGCAAAAACCAGCAATAAGAGGCGAATACAATTATGTATTATCTCCTACATTTCTAATCTAGCAAATTCTAAACCTACCAAACCTCCAACTCACTAACTAGGTACTTATTAATGTGCTGCCAAGAATCCGCTAGTTCTATCCCGGAACCATTTCACAATGTCTAGAATAATCCTAATGCTTCTAGATTATTTACTAGGATGTATTCGTATGACCCGCAATTATCATTTATAATCTACCAAATTCCAAACCTAATAAATAAAACTATTCAGTTTTGATCTTCCAATTTGCGATTTGTAGTTAACCTCTCCTATGAATATCGCTTCGAGCCGACTTTATACCGCTTACACAACCGATGAAAGAATGAGCTGAAACATAAAGTCCCGCAACTTCTAATTAAACTTATAAAGACCTGGTTCATTATGATTTGGAAGAAATTTTAGAATTGTCTAACCTAGAACTACTACTTTACTACAAATTTTGAACAGGCAAATTAGGGAGTTTTTGAATAAATTTAATGTATTGCCCACTAAACAATCGGTTTTTAGACCTAACCATAATTGTGAGAGCGCGCACTGGCTGACTTGACAGATGATATTTTAAGGGCACTTGATGAGAATAAAATTAGTACTTTGGTTCTTTTAGATTTTAGTAAAGCGTTTGATATGCTTTTAATCATGAGCTACTTTTAGCAATTCTTCATTTTGCAGGATTCGGCACAAATTCCTGTAACTTTTTGAAATCATTTCTGTCGGATGTCGAATCGTTCGCAAAGGGTAATAATAAACAACATTCATTCAGAAATTTTATACGTGAAAAGGGGGTACCTCAAGGTAGCATCTTGGGACCATTACTCTACACTATTTATACTTCGGATTTTTTGACCTCTCTTAGGCATTGTAAATATCATTTTTATGCAGATGATACAGAAATATATTTTTCATTTACCGATGAGGATGTCGAAAATTCCGAAAATAAAATTTATCTTGACTTAGATAATTTTTTCAAGAAGGCTGCGGATGATTTATTGGAATTGAATCCTGGTAAATCGTCAGTCCTGATTTTTGGTAATGATTCTCAAATGTCTAAAGTTTAAAACAGCATGAATATTGTGTTGAACGGTGTACCGCTTTCTTATTCAAATACCAGTAAAAGTTTGGGATTGTTTTTAGATTCTAATTTATGTTTTAAAAGACACGTTACAGCTAAATTAAGAGTGGCATACGGTAACCCAAAAAATATCTACAGCCATAGGCACTACCTTCCCTTAGATACTAGAAAATCACTTTGTGATGCCCTTGTTCTTTCTCAATTTAATCATTGTAGTAGTGTCTAGGTACCGTGTCTGGATACTGGTGATCGTTATAGAATTCAAAAAGTGCAAAATTCGTGTTTAAGACTTATATATGGTGTTAAAAGACGTAACCATATTTCACAGTATTTGTCTGAGTCGGGATGGCTAAATATGTTGAATAGATTTAAACTTTATCGAGCGACATTTTACTATAAAATTTTAAAATACAAATCTCCACCCTATTTATATGAGAAAATACCTTATCGCACCGATATACATAATGTGAATCTACGCAGGAAAAATACTTTAAGAATACCGCAACACCGAAAAGAAATATTTAAACGTTCATTTTCTTATAATGTTCCGAATTTATTAAACTCTTTAGACTTTTTAAATATTGAACTGTCATGTCATACTTTCAAAAAACAATTTAAAAAAGATTTACTTCAGTCTCAGTAAATTTATTTAAACAAAAGTATCTAATAATAAAAAAAAATAAAAAAAAATAAAATAAAATAAAAACACCACTGCGTAAACATTGCAATAGCCC